AAACTTCTTTCTTATCTCATCTATACGCTTCAAAATGTCTGAACAATTGCTAACATCTTCTACAACAGTTATTTCATCATGAATGACCTTTAAAAACAAGCTCATTTAATATGCTATTAAAATCATCTCAATAATGAGTCCATCCTTTCCGTCTTTGGGTAGCACAACATCTTTCATTGAAGAAGGTTCAACAAGTCTTATATTAAACTTACTGACAAAGTTTGTTATACTATAATGCTTCGGCGGCGAATACATATAGTTTGAAAGACATAATATAGATTCTTCAGCAAATTCACTTATACTGGATTTTATAACAATGTTCTCACGAGACCAAATACCACCAATTGACAATCTTGTAAGCAATCCTGCTGAACCTTCTACTGTAAACGTCGATGGTAACATTCCACGAAGGTCATCTATTGACATCGTTGAGTCACTGAATTTAAATATTTTCTTAAAGCAATCGTCATTATCTAACCATGCAATAGCTTTGAAGTTTTCATTCGAATATACATCTGCTTCATTAAATGTAAAACCTGACTTCTTTGCAGAGACGACTTTAAAATCTATTGCATTTGTTTCAAAATTATACGCTATGGTAACTTCTGAAGGTAATGGGTGTCCTTCCGCAGTCAGTTGTTCTCACTACCGTTTGAAGCTTTGTGTTAAAACTTTCATGTCATCTCCTGTGTCTAGGTTCACATACACAGCAATAGGAAAACTATCTTGCTTCTTTGTCTCATCATTATATCTCAAAACATTAAAGTTCTTCAATAATATTGTCCTTCCTGCTGGAATACTTCTAACTTGTCTTATTTCAATAGCTTCTCACCTCCTACATACTCTACCCAGTGTCTTGGATATTCATAAGTATACTGACTTTCTTGAATTTTGGTTGGTTTCATCATAACGTGTTCATAGTATATCTTTATACTCTTGTCAGTTAGACTCGGTGCTATGTTCTGAATATTTCTGACTTGCATTTTTAATGGAGATAAAATGAAGCATTTAATACATGACGTAGATGAAGACATGAATGAAACTACAGACAAACTTAACTCTTCTCTTATTCTTCTTTCAGTAAGGACTATGAGTTCTGTTCAAATGGTGTTTATTTCTATTGTGGAAAGATGGGGTCAGGTAAGACATTTAACCTCATTCGTCATATACTCATAACAGAGCGTTTAGGTCAAGATTCATATTATGACCAAATCATTATATCAGCAACTTCAGACTCTATGGACTCAACAGCGAAAACATTTATGTCAAAAGTTCAAGCCTCTGTCGTTAAAGTTCCAGATAGCGAACTCATTGAATTTCTTCAACGTTACATTCGACGTAAGAGGAAATATTATGCCATCGTTGAATTTATACAGTCAGGAATGCAAAAGACTTCAGAAGAGATGGAAAGAATTATTGACAAACACCACTTACGTCAATACTCAGGAGTTTACGATATGAAACGACTTACAAACTACATTCTGTCAAAACTTTCAAAATACCCCTTCAAAAAGTATCCTTCAAACACTCTGCTCGTTTGCGACGACTTCGCCGGAAAAGGTTTAGTGTCAAAGCCTGACTCACCATTAGCTAACATCATTACTAAAGTCAGACATTACCACTTAACTGTAGCAATACTTATGCAAACATGGAGGTTTTTAGCTTTAAACATAAAACGTCTCATAACTGACTTCGTTATCTTTCAAGGTTTCTCACGCTATGATATTGAACTCATTTGGAAACAGTCAGGTATAACATTACCTTTTGAAGAAATTTGGGAAGCATATAAGTCTCTCATCTCTCCTCGTTCATACCTTGAGATTCATATCATGACTAATACCATTAAAGTCAAAAATATTCCATGGGAACGACCAACATTGTTTTAAAGTTTAACCTTCAATTGACTGATGGTAAACAAATTCCATGCATCTCTGTCGCCATTTCTGTTAATATTTTTGCTGTCATTCATATCATCCACTTCCCCATCCGTTAACTTTTGAGGATATGCGTTAGAATAGCTGTTCTTAAATGAAGGCTTTTCACCTTTTAGCGCATAAACTCTATAACTTTCTGCATACTTTATGTTTGAACCTCCTGAGCCATCATTGACATAAATTTTTATAGGCTTCCACCCTTTGTTCATGTTCCTGCTTCTTCCCTTAGCTCTTTTGTTCAGTAGTTCTACATCTTTATACACAGCACCTGTCTCAGTGAATTCAACAATATTTTCATTCGTTAGCTTTACATTCAAACCCTTGTCGAGTATATTGTTCATTTCATACATATAAAAGGTTTTTATTCTATATGAAATGAGAAGCAAATCCATCTTAGCTGGTGCCGTTAATGTTCCAATTGAACCAACATCAAATGTTGACTCACGAACGACAAACAATATTGTCATAAAGAACTATAGTTCGGAGTGTTTGAAAGAAAAAGAACCAGAACTTAAGTCGGGAGGGCTCAAAGAGCCCATCTTGGCGCATGGCGCCGTGAATTTAAACTCAGCTTCAAACGCTAACGCTACATCAGATGTTAAGTTAGAGTATCCACCACTGGACCAAATTCTTTCAAGAGAAGCCAACGACAACCCTTACACAAATGTTCAAACAAATCCTTCAGATAACGTAGACCATTACCTTCTTCAGTTATATCAAACTATCTTACTCAAAGACGATAAGAAGCTTTTGACAAATCTTATAAGCAAGAACCAAATAATTCTAACAAAGGAGGACCTTGAAAATGTTATATCACGAAAACAGGGAAACAATGTGTCATTGACTATCTCGACCCTGAAATCGAATGCTGTGGTCAAACGCCACCATTCATGAAAATAGGTAACATCCGCATCATTGAAATACCAGGTACTCCAGGAGTTGAGTTTAAGTATAAATATTCGAACGAGTATACAAAACTTTCAACAGAATATAAATTATGTTTGAAATATGTTTTAGTAAATTAAAGCAGTCAGGAGGGCTCTTTGAGCCCATCTTGGCGCTTTGCGCCGTTAGTCAAAAAAATTTCAAGTTAGCAATTTGTAATATCTGTCCAAAACTTCTTCAACAGTATCGAACTCATCTTCATAATGCAAACCTAATCTTATTGACTTGGTGCAGTTCTCACTAACACAAATATAGCGCTTTGCGCTCGGCGCCTTTGACGCCTTTTTCTGTTCTCTTGACTGACATAACTAACTCATTTGTTTCATCAAACAGCAACAACCAAAGTTCATGACCTAATACATAACATTCATACTTTATATTTTTAGCTCTGAGTTCTCTTGTAAGCTGTTGCATTTAATATTTTCTAAAAAGTCTACTTCAACAGTCATTCGCACTGGTGCCTTCAGTTCTACAGGCTCTCCTTGAAAGTCAACTAGTCTGAATTGCATGTCTTTCAAATTATGAGGACTAATGCGAACCCATTTACCTAAATGAGTTGCTATGACAGGAACGTTTGGAATGAACATTGAATTTACTTCATAACAGAAAGACTTATATTCTACTGAACCTTTACTATTAACTCCTGAAATACCTGTGACATTAGCTATTTTTGACTCAATGTATAAACAATTGCCATAACATACGTATGGAACAGATTTCATCTCAATCGTTTTGTCAAACTTTTCAAAGGAAATGTCATATGGTATGCTCCCAAAGAAGTTGTACTCTATGACTCATTCGTGTTATCTTAAACTCCTTCACATAACTGAACTTCAAAACTCCTGCAATAAGTTTAACATTCATTAAGTTTTCTTCGTTCTCCTTGTTTATTGTAGTATTTATGAGCGCATTTAACACTCCAGCTAATGTTTCCATCTTATATTCTACATTATTGTGAAATCTTATTTCCATGCTTCTTTCCATCTATTTCAAACTCCATGAAATCTGTTTCATCTGTTATGACAAAAGTTGCGATAGTATTGAAGTCAACAACTCTGAAAGCAAGCGCTTCATTCTGAAGACCTAAGTTTGTTTGTAGCTTTACTGTTCCGTATTCGTTTGGGTCAGTACTTTGCAAATAGAACAACATTTTATTCTCATTAAAATATGACTATTGCTGCATATGCGTATGAAACAAATGAAGCAAGAAGAGCACATGAACTAGTAAACGAAAACTCAACTTTAACCATTGAAGGCAATGATTTAGTCATTGACGATGGAAAAACTAAAAAGTCATTGATTTCGATACTTTTAACACTTATGACCCATTCATTACAATAAGTAAAGTTCTATCATAAATGATGGAACGGTGCAATATATAAATTCTACAGTAGATGCCTCATTAGTGAAAGTACTGAATGTTCTCATTGAATTGTTAAAGAGCTTTCGATTTGACGACAACATTAAATGCCTAAAGAATTTAGTCATGAATGAGAAAACAAATATTAGGAGTTGCTGGTAGCAGTAATGATGTACACCTTATGACATTAGAATATTATAACGAACATAAAGATGAACTGAAAGGAGAGAAGGGTGACACCGGACCACAAGGAATACAAGGACCTCAAGGAATACAAGGACCTCAAGGAATACAAGGACCTCAAGGCGAAAAACGGTTTGGATGGAAAGGATGGAAAGGATGGAAAAACTGCTAAATCATGGATATGGGACCTTATAAATACTGGTTTAACAGCTGCTTCATATGGAGTTCTTCAATACCAAATCGGAAAGATATGGGCAGTACTTGGTGAAGAAGCTTTAGATGATGTTAAAAAATGCTTTGAACTTCATTTCAAATGGTTCGGATACTATTAAAACTTTATCTGGTTGGATGCAAAAACAAGGAGTCAAATAGATACTGTAAGACGTATAGCAAACAATGCACGTACGGGATTGGATACTTTACGAAAAGCACAAAATACACTAAAGGAAGCAAATGATATTCTTGGCTCAGTATCAGACATGCATGAAGATTGGCTTAAAGGTATTGACAAATCTTTAAAAAATCACAGTCAGTCTATTGCTGACTACAAGAAAAGTATAGATTTTTTACATAGTGCTATGGACGTACATGATGGAAGCATAAGGAACTTACTTAATGCTAACAATAACTTACCAGGAACTATTAAAGCATTTATAAAGTCCTTTGTAAAACCCGGTGCTCTAACATTTAGGTCTTTGAGAGCAAGAGCATTGAAGTCAAGAGATGCAGAAACTCCAACAGAAACTCCAGAAGGAACTGAAACAACAGAAACTCCAGAAGAACCACCAAAACCAACAGCTAATGAAATATTGTTCGAATATTTTCCAAGGTACTCTGTTCTCATTGCATACATTCAAGAAATACTTAAGAAAGCAGACTTGACTTTAGGAGATGATGAAAGTTCTGTATATCTTTCGTTCCAATTCCAAATAGCAGAACTTTTGAGACAGATATGCTTAATGTATGACAACATCTCTGATTTCACAAGATATGACGACGACCATGACCCCGAACACGGTGAAGAAGAAGTTTTACAAACATCCATTAAGACAGGAAAGGTTTTAACTCAAAGTCTCATTATTGACACCAAAGATGGCGAAGTGGACGTTCTTCAAGAGCTGAAGAAAAATACTTCTTCGGGAGGTGGTGGTAGGCATGAACTTGAAATAAATGAGATAGAAGAGAAATTAGCCGAAAAAGCAGATAAAAACCACGTTCATTATATAACTTCAGATGAACAGATTATAACGGACTACCATGGATATTTAACACAGCATGAAAAAGTGAAGACGGAAGATGTTAATGAAAGAAGATATAAATACATTCGTGCTAAAGGTTATGACATAAGCTGTACTGTACATTATGACACAGGTAAAGCGCTAGAAGCATTTAGTTATAACGATGAAATTTATGCCTCTACTTTCAATGTTAACGGTGTATTAGTTGAACCAAGATTTACTTTGAGAGTTAAGGCAAAAATAACTTTTGAAGATGCTATTAAAAGTAGAGCCGACAAAGATGAACTTGACGCAACGAACAAAGTTTTGAAATCTCATAAACACAATATCTCCGATATAAATGAACTTCAAGCTACATTAAATAGTAAAGCCGACAAAAATCATACACATAAATCCTTCACTACTGTTAGAGCAGACGACATAATATTGAACTATGATTTGGGTTCAAGTGCACCTTTAGAGAATCCGAGTACAAGCGTAAAAGATACTCTTAACAATTTAGATAAGAGTTGTAGGAATATCGAAGATCATGCCAGAAACTTTGAAGCATATGAACTACCATCAATGTTAGACAGTAAAGCCGACAAAAATCATACACATAAATCCTTCACTACTGTTAGAGCAGACGACATAATATTGAACTATGATTTGGGTTCAAGTGCACCTTTAGAGAATCCGAGTACAAGCGTAAAAGATACTCTTAACAATTTAGATAAGAGTTGTAGGAATATCGAAGATCATGCCAGAAACTTTGAAGCATATGAACTACCATCAATGTTAGACAGTAAAGCCGACAAAAATCATACACATAAATCCTTCACTACTGTTAGAGCAGACGACATAATATTGAACTATGATTTGGGTTCAAGTGCACCTTTAGAGAATCCGAGTACAAGCGTAAAAGATACTCTTAACAATTTAGATAAGAGTTGTAGGAATATCGAAGATCATGCCAGAAACTTTGAAGCATATGAACTACCCGCAATGCTAGACAAGAAAGCAGACAAAACAGAGCTTCAAACATTAAAGACTCAGATTCTTGAAACATTATATCCTATAGGCTCTATTTATACGTCAATGAACTCAACAAATCCTTCAAAAGTTTTAGGTTTTGGTGCGTGGGAACAGATTGTAGATAAATTCTTATACTGTGCTAACTCTTCAAAGGAAACAGGAGGTTCAAAGAAAATTACTGAAGCAAACCTTCCACCGCACACTCATACAGGAACTACAAACTTTTCTGGTGACCATAGTCACTCATTAAGAGACCATCCATTATACAACTCAGAATATTATGCTGGCAATGATGTTTTATCTCCATCTTATAACAATTCAGCAAAAAAGACTTTTCGACCAACTGAACCAGGAGGAAATCATGTCCATACTTTCACAACAAATCCAACAGGCTCGGGTGCAGATTACATGCCACCATTTGTGACTGTATTTGCATGGTACCGCGTTCAATGAACGCGCTTGAGCCTGCTTTGCGGGCTTACCGTCTTGAATAAAATCTTTAACTTTACATAAATGAGCTTGAAAGAAGTATTCGAACAACATCCATGGAGGTCTTTTAAGAAATTCAATGAAGCTGCAAAGAGTTCGGGATTTACTAACAGAGCTGAAGTGAAAAGGTTCTTTGACAAAAATGTTGTACATCAAACAAAAATAAATCCTTACGACTACTTTTTACCAATTTACTCCAACACTCCTGACGCATACCAATTTGACACTCTCATTCAAAGCAGAAAAGGAGGACATAAACCATTCCTCATCTTCATTAATGTTAACACTCGCAAAGCTTTTGCGTATATAATGAGAAATAAAGGAACTCATGAAGTGTTAAGAGTTTTACAAAAGTTTGTAGCAGAACATAGCCCAAGTATTTTAACATCAGACCAAGACGGTGCATACCTCAGCAACGAAATCACAGAATTTCTCATTAAGCATAACATAACTCACTACACTACTGAAGACCATAACCATAACATACTCGGTATCATTAACCGCTTCATAAGGACTCTCAGAGATTTAAATCAAGAGCGAGACTTTACCGAAGAAACAATGAAACATTTCATCGAAGTTTACAATTCCTCAACACATTCTACAACAGGACATACACCAAATTCAATGACACAACAACAAGAAGAAAAGTATATACAAAAGAAACGAAGTCAAACACAAAATATCAGAAATTCAACACAATTTACTCTCATTCCTGGAACAAAAGTTCGTGTAGTTCTTGACGACAAACCGTTGACAAAGAAACGTTTAAGGTTAAGTCGAAATTATTATATCGTAGACTCTACGCAAGGTAATGGATATCTTATAAAAGCTGCTGACGACTCCATAGCATTTTACCCTCGTCATAAATTAGTCGAAAGTAGTAATGGCAAACTTGCTGAAACCATTGACGAAGCAAAGCGAGGAGTGGTTATTGAAATACTTGACTACAACATAAACGATGACACTTATAAAGTAAGATATGAAGGAGGCGTTGAAGATGTTATACCATCTAAGAACTTGAGAGAATCTAAACCAACTCATCTGGGACCATTAGAGCGGGAGTACTGGAAAGATAAAAACATGCCAGAAAGAATAAGAAAATTCTTCTAAACTTTTTCGTTGGATGTAAATCAGACAAAAATATATTATAGGTGAAGAGGTGAGATTTCACCTGTTTTCTCACCTGTTTTTTCACCTCTTGAATTTTCGTGAATTTCCTTAAGATAGAAAAAATAAAGTTAGTTTTATTTTTATTTATTTTTTATTTTGTATAAAAGATATGATTTCAACAATCGGCACAACAACAATTCAAGCCGCGAACGGCGGGACTCTGTCCACAACAACTTCACCAAACTCGTTAGTCATGAATCCAACATCTATGTTAGTAGAGATGGAAAGCTTCATTCCTTCTTCATTTACTTTCGAAACAGAAATACAAAAAATTAAGCAGGAACTTTTAACAAGTAATTTAGACTGTAGTGCGAAAGATGAAACAAATGAACAGTATCTTTATGAAATGGAGGACCTCATCGACCATTTACCTAAACTACCTGAAATTCAGCATCAAAAACTAACTATTCCTGAATTCGACGAAATTGAAGTCAAAGCAACTGACTCAGTAGAAATAAAGAAGTTCATACGTAAAGTAAATTATGAATTCCTTGGTTTTCATTGCAACCATAAAGTTATGGACAAAGATTGCGATATGGTATATAAGAATGTTTCTGACATATATAAATCTGAAGAATTTAAGACCTACGACAACTTTGTTTCGTTAGTTGCTGAATGTGTTTGGGAAATAAGAGATAAAGATAGAAGAGGCAAAGTATGGAACGAACAACTAAGACCCGCTATGTTTGAGATGAAGAGAGCAATTGACGCTTTAGTTGTTCTAGCAGGTCAAATTTCAATGTATAATGCAAAAATGAACCCACAATGTTCAAAATGTAAAGCAGCAATAAGGAAATATAACTACTCCGTCAAAGAGATAGAAAGAATGCGAAACGACTATGCAGACTTAAAGAAAGAAGCAGAAAAGCCAGCAGAAGATAAAATGGACATGTTAGCATTTCTGAACAAAAACTATCCAACAGTAGAAGATTTCCTTCTATCTGACGTCAAGAAGAAATATAAAGAGACTTTCGGCATTGTTAAAACTTTTGATATCCTCAGCGAAGAAATAGAAGCTACAAAACTGTTTAGGATTTCAAATATACATCGTACAATTCATGTAAAACGCTTGTGAAAAAAAGAGGTGAAAAATTAGGTGAAAAAAGAGGTGAAATCTCACCTCTTCACCTAAATTATATTTTTGGTCATTTACACTCATTTACGAAGAAGTCATGACAAAGCATTTACGATGAAATCTTGACAAGGCATTTACGAAGAAGTTATGACAAAGCATTTACGAAGAAGTTATGACAAAGCATTTACGAAGAAGTTATGACAAAGCATTTACGAAGAAGTTATGACAAAGTCATGAGGGTGAAAAATTAGGTGAAAAAAGAGGTGAAATCTCACCTCTTCACCTAAATTATATTTTTGGTCAAAGCTTCCACGAGAGAAAAGATTCCTCATTTGCTAAGGATTCCAAAAATGAAAAAATCGTTGATTTCGGCTGAGAAAAAACGGCAAAAACCCTTCTTCCACGGGAACAAAGAAATAAAGAAGAAATAAAGTAAATTTTTTATTTATTCCCGTGGAAGATAGAGCACTTTTATGACACTTTTTATTCACGACAAACAAGACAAATAAAGAAAATAAGAAAATACGGCGCTGTCGCGGTTCGAACCACAGACCCTGACCCCTCCATAACACCACCTTAGACCACTGTGCTACGTAGCCTGTCGACATAAGATTTTATAAATTGCATATTTGACGTAAATTTATTTCCATCTGGCTTCCCACTGCATAAGATATTCATACGTGTTTGTAAGACATTCATTAAACTTCTTTTCTATTGCATCTAATCTTGCGTTATTTTTTTCAATAACTTGTCTGTATTCTTCATCATCTCCAGCAGTGTTTGGGTCTTCACGTTTAAAATATTCATTGTTAACCAATTTTTTATCTACAAATTTTATTAGTGTTTGATTCACTTCGTTATGATAACGGTCATATTCTTTCAATACGTAAGTGAAGACAAAATGCGTCGTACCTTCAATCTTAAAGCTTAAAGAACTTTCAACACAGTTTTGAGGGTCTGTCAGTGCGTCAATGAGATAGTATTCGAAGTCAGTCAATAATCTTTTTAAAGTCATTTCATACAGGATAAAATTTAATGTTGTGAAGAAATAGTGTTTATCTCAAAAAAAATAAAGTTAGTTTTTATTTTATTTATTTTTTTATCCTGTATGTAAAGACAGATATGTCAACATTAGAGAACACAACAACTGCTATCGTTCATGAAGTCATAAATGAAGAATACGAATACATACAGTATAACAAACAATTGAGACTCATTCGTTCTGTCAAAGACGACATGTACCAAATGCAAAGTATTTTGACGGCTTGTTTTGCTCCAGATACTAAGCTTCCTAAAGACTGGTTTAGGAACCAAAGCACCATAGAACTATTAAGTGAAGCACAGCGAGACGTACTTTTTTCTGAAAACAGTGAAGAACAGCGAGTAGGTAAAAAATCCCAGTCGCCAAAACTCTATGAAAACCGTGAAAAATTGCCAAACGGTTTGAGAGGATATTATGTTCATAGACTTTTAGTAAATGCAGTTGCAATGTGGGCTTCACCACGTTATGCTTGGAATATTTACAAACTTCTTGACGAACTTCACAGACAAGAACGTGGAGAGATGGAAAAGAAACTTCAAGCAAAAGATGAAGTCATTGAATCCAAAGACAAAAGCATACAGAAAAGAATACCGCGTTCAGTACCAAAAGGAAAGGAAAAGAACTATAAGTATATGATTTATACTGAAGAGTTGGAGAATGAAGAAGACAGAGATATGGTTATGTTGCATTTAGTCAGAAGAAACAACAAAAGCTTTTACGACCTTGCTAAAATATATAAATCTGACAGAAACTGGTTCTATCGTGAAAACTTACCGATTTCAATGACACCGAATGAGCAAATAAAAGAAATTGTCAAAAATACTCTTCCTCAAACACACTATGACATCAAAGGTTGCACAATACTTACCTTCAAAGAAGACTTACCATTACTGAAGGAAAAAATAACAGAATATTTCGATAACTTCAAAGAGGAAGAATGAAGTCACGACAACATTAACGAAGAAGTCACGACAACATTAACGAAGAGAGAATGAGGTGAAAAAACAGGTGAAATCTCACCTCTTCACCAAAAATATATTTTTGGTTAAATAGCTTCAGGGTCAATTTCTTCAACCATTTCACTTCCTTCGTCAATGTCAATAGAAGCTTCTTCAACCTTTGGTAAGAACTTTTGTATAACATCTTTGTTCGTTATTGTCTTCAGAGATGAAGGATAATATTTCACATTTATTTCACCCTTCTTATATTCTTTCTGTTCGGAAAGATTTAAAGCAATACTGAAGAAGTCAATGTTGGAGTTCTTTATAACAGTATAATGAGTATCTTTGACATTCACGAAGAAACCCTTTTGTTTCAAAACTACTGCTAACTCTTGTGAAGTATAACGTTTGCGGTCAATGACAATAGCTAATGGTCTGACATACTGACCGAACTTAGATTCTTTCACAAACTTCTTGTTAAAGATAACATTGACGTTTGAAGCACCATTGAACTCATTCTTGATGGCAGTAGCGAGAGCATTGTATGAAAAGAACTTGCAATCTTGCATGTGTTTCATTAAAATAAAAATATTAAATTATTTTGAAAAATAACTTAAAAAAATGTAATCTAATTTTTCAAAAAATATTTTTTATCCGATAGAAAAGATGACAGAAAAATTAACTTTTTACATAGCGCCAGACCCTTCTTGCCCACATCCTTTTAAGCCACAATATATAGACATAGAACTAAATAGAGAAAGCGAAATTCCACAATATATATACATAGAACTAAATAGTGAAGGCGAAATTCTACAAACAGAAGAAAGCGAAATTCCACAAACATATAGAGACCTAGATAACGAAAATGGATATGCGCTATTCTGGTTAGATTGTCCTTATAAAATGTATGAAAAAAAGGCTTTATATGAAGAATATAGAAAATATTGTCATGAAAACGATATAAGACCAAGCTCTAGAGAAAAATTCTATGCTGGTATAAAACATCTTTTCGAAGTTCGGAATGGCAAATATATAAAGAAATAATTTTTCTAAGTTTATTTTTTCGAAAAAATATTTTTTTATTTCCTACTAAAGATGTATCGGAAGTTGTCTAAGTTAGAACACTCGGAAATAAAACAACTTCTTACAGAAGCTAATATAGATGTTGCAAAACATTACGCGACAAACAAAAAAGCACTCGCTGACTTCATTAAAGACTACAATGGTGCAATAAGTTATGATAGAATTCATGAGTTCATAAAGCCGCAACGCGGCGAGGACGAAGTCCATGCAAGAGCATTTCCTTTAAATGACATTGCTATTGACTTATATCATAGACGTTCAGTACCTCATGAAGTAAGAAGAGAAATGTTTGACATAACAAATGCGAACGTTGGTCATACTCGTAAAGCTCTTTCGCATGATGTTCGTCAAGAAATGTTTGACATAACAAATGCAAACGTTGGTGAAACAAGAAGAAGAGACGACACACTGAAACAACAGAGAAGAGAGATGTTTAAAAGTGCTATAGAACAAGTTCGCAAAGCTAACGATGTCATTCGTTCCATTGACGACAAACCAAAAGAAGGTGAGAGATGGTTAAAGAAAGATGAAGAGAATAGGAAGAGAAATGTGAAGTCAGGCAATAGACTCATTGACTTTAACATCGAAGCTTTAGATGAACCAAACAGAGAATATTTACACAAACATTTCGGTAAGGTTTTCATGAGACTCTTAGAGAAAATTAAAATAAACTCGCAACAAAGATGGATGGTATGTTATAAACTTGGTGGAAAGTATGAATGTTCTACGTTAAACCTCAATAATATTGGAACATTACTACATCAGCTCTTGAAGGAGAACTTTATATCAGAGATAGAAGCAAATGCTGCAGGTATTGTTGAAATGCACTATGACTTCTTCTTGACAAACATAAAGAATCTTACTGAAATAAAGATGTATGATTTAACAGAATATGAAGGCTTAACGATGTCAGATGTAAAGAAAGGCAAACCAAAAAAGAGACCATATAGAGATGAAAGCACACTGACAAATGACCAGAAAGCCATTTTGGAAGCTCTTAAGCAAACAGGAAACCCAGCACTTATAGAAAGCTTTTGGAAAGATAATGGTGAAAAGAAGTTTTATAAGAAGAGAAGCGGTCAGTTATGGAAGTATCTTTGCACATTACCTATAAATCTTGAACGCTACCAAATCTTCAATGAACTGAACAAAAGAACTGCAATACTTATGACAGAGGACAATTGTTTCGTTTATGCTTGCATTCAGGCTGGAGTAAATGAAGAAACTATTGACCACATGAGAGAAGTCATTCGTGTTAGAGACTTTCCTCAAAGTAAAGTACAAGAAATTTCTGACGCAACAGGTATAGCATTTAATGTTACCATTGGTTATTTCAATGACTCAAGACATAATGAAATAAAGAGATATATACCAAAAGAATGCGAAACTGTTAGAACTATTGACTTACTTCTTGTTGAAGACCACTACATGCTAAATGAAAGACTTCCAATGACAACATACTTCATTCGAAACTATAAAGAAATTCTCAAAGCTTGTGGTGGAATGAACATTGAGAAACAGATGAAGATTTATACAAAGAGAGAAGATAAATATGTAGTTCGTTATGATAGAACAACACCGTTATGGGATGTTATGAAAACATTGTGGGAGTGCAAATATTTCGAACCTATTTCTTATGGAGAACTTTTCACATATACTACTGACTTATATAAACAGAACCTTGCACCATTTAAAGATTTGACATATGCTCCAAAGTATTGTGTACAACTGAAGAAGAAAGCAGAGTCAAAAGAAGTAAATAAAGCTAAATGTAAATTCATTCCTGAGCACGTTTTCTTTGCTGACTTTGAGTGTAGTACGGATGGCTTTCATAAAGCTTTTAACATCTGTTATGACAGTGAAGATGGTTCAGTGAGTGAAAGCATTTGGGGTCAAAACTGTGCAACAGAATTTTTGGAAAGACTCCCTGACAAGAGTTTAATATATTTTCACAACCTCAGTTATGACATAAACTTCATCTTAAGACACATGACAGAAGTGAAAGGAACTCCCATCATTAAAGGTTCACGAACAATGCAAATAACTGGTTTATATAAAGGACGGGCAATTATTATAAAAGACTCTTACAGTGTTATAAATAAGAAGCTTAAACTATTTCCTGCTATGTTTAACTTACAAACAGGACCGAAAGAAGTATTTCCATATAACTACTACAGCAGTGTTTTGTTAGCAAATGACAACAGAACTGGTGTCATTTCTGAAGCATGTAAGTTTATCCGGGATGCAGATACATTTATGAAAAACATAGATTCCATCAAAGGTTGCAGAATAGATGAGAACCACTTCGACTTAGAAAAATATAGCACGTTTTACTGCAAACAAGATGTAAGAATTTTAAGAGAAGGTTTTGTAAAGTTCCGCAATGACTTATTGAAAGAGTTTGATTTAAACGTTTATGACTACGTTAGTATTTGTTCAATTGCTAACAAATTGTTTGAGAACAGAGTATACTTCCCGAATGGAAATCTTTATGACCTCTCAAATAAACCAAGAGAATTTATTTCGAGATGCATTCAAGGTGGAAGATGTATGTTGTCAGATAACATGAAACAAAAGAGCAAAAAGAAACTCATTGCTGACTTCGACACTGTTTCATTATATCCTTCAGCTATAGCAAGACTTTATACTTTAGAAGGTATTCCAAAAGTATTGAAGGAAGAAATGTTAAACACAGAGTATCTCATGAGACATTTATTCGATGATGACCAAAAGGAACCCATTGGTGAAAAGTTTATGTCTGGCTTCTTTGTTCTCATTAAGATAACAGAGATTGGTATACCCAGACACTTTCATTTAATAGTTTGCGACCCTGAACTAAATCCAGAACTTAACGTTCCAAGAAGTTCAAACACTTGCTGTCTCATGTATGTTGACCATATAACATTACAAGACCTCATAAAATATCAAGGTGTCAAATGTGAAGTGTTGCAAGGATACTATTACGATGGAAACAGAGATATGAGAATAAGAGATGAAGTAAAGAAGTTGTTTGAGTTAAGGTTAAAGTATAAGAAAGAAGAAAACCCCTTACAAGAAATTATAAAACTCATTCTGAACAGCATTTATGGCAAAACTATTCTATCTCCTATTGAGTCAAAAATAACCATAGTAGATGACAAAGATGCTATAAGATATGCTATAAGAAATTACAACCATATAGTGAAGTTCGAAGGTTTGGATGGTTCAGATAAAACTATTTTCAAGCTAACGAAAAGCATTTGCAGACACTTTAACTTCTGTCCACTTGGTGTTAATATTCTGTCTATGTCAAAACGTATTATGAATGAAGTATTCTGTACTGCAGAGGACATGGGTCTTCAAATATTTTACCAGGATACCGACAGTATGCACTTATATAATGAAGACATCCCAAAGCTTGCAGCAGAGTTTAAGAAGAGATACGGTAGAGAACTTATAGGAAAGAACCTTGGTCAATTTCATAGCGACTTTGCAGAAATAACACCTGGAAAACAAAGTTTAGCTTATAAAAGTATTTTCTGTGGAAAGAAGACCTACATAGACTTACTCACGAATGATTTAAATGAAGTTGCATTTCACTGCAGAATGAAAGGCGTGAAGCAAGATGTTATTGCTTTAACCGCTAATGAAATGTTTCCTGAAGCTATACAATGCTATTACAATGAAGATAAGAACATTCACATACCTGTTGGAACATATGACAAAGACTCTGAGTTCAGTTTAATGAAACTTTACAAAGCACTTTATGATGGTCAAGAGATTGCATTCGACTTATGTAAGTCATGTCAACCTTGCTTTGCTGAAAAGTTCAACTTTTCAATAACGACTAAAACAAGCTTTATTCGTAAGTTGAAGTTCTGAGGTCATTTATTTTTGTCAGCAATGAGGTCATTTGTGATAAAAATAAGCCGCTAGCGGCATGGGCGAAGCCTATGTGGTCATTTACAATACAGCTATTGTAGAGTTTAACAATTGTGCTTCAATGTATAAACAATCTTTCCCATCTGGAGGTAAGAACACTGGGCACTTATGGTCATGAGTGGAGAACATGTCTATCCAAAACTCACGATTGAAGCCAGTAAGCTTGTAATACTTAGGATTTGACAGTGGTGAAGTTCTTGTATGACCAATGAACTCATTTTCAACTCCCTTACTTAAGTTTGAATATAATATAGCTTGCTTTCTATCCCAAATGCCAGGTGTTACAATCTTTGAAAATTCATTTTTCCTCGGAAGTATTGCATCATAATTGAAAACATTCTTGAAGTCTTCATTGGGTTCAGAGATTTGAAACCTTATACGTAATGGATTTTCTTTCTTTTTAGCGACTTCATTGAATGGTGAATATATAACAAACTGACAGTCATGAGTTCCATCTTCATTTTCATTAAATTCATAATGAAAGTCTATAAGTTGTGGCTGACTACCTTCTTCTTTCAGTTGTGCAAGAAACTCACGTAAAGGCTGTAAAGTTTGTACTTCAATATTGAACTTTTTCTCGAACATCTCATTAAATGAAATCATACATTGCAACAATGTTGTATCGTCTTTAAAGTATTTGTATATGTGAATGTTTTGGGCGCTTAAAGACTGTTCGTCATTTTCTATCTCGACTTGAAGTATAAAGTCAACCTTTCTGAAAGCACGTGTTATATACATAGATGTTATGCCAATGTACTTCTCTTCATTTATGTTCACAATCCAGTCTGTTGGAAACTTAAACGTTACTCTGTTCCCCTTTATTTTGACGTCAGGGTTTTCACTACTGAACGCAACAGATAAAGGTATTTGTCTATACATTTAGTTTGGATAAAAATAAACCATTTACTCTTTCTTTGCTTCAGCTTCCTTTGCTTTTTGTTCTTCCTTTGCTTTTGCTTCTTCTCTAGCTTTTTTCGCCAGCAAACGTGGGTTCTTCTGTCTTCCAGCAGCTAATGCAGCTAGTTGTTTTTCACTAAGTTTTCTCTTTGGTCTCTCTGGCTTTTGTTCTGGTTTTTGTTCCTTCAGTTCGGATAAAATTTGTTCACGAATTTCTTTCTTCAATGCTTCAACATCTATGACCCCTTGGGTCTTGTCCGTAGGATTTGACTGAGTCATTTGACTGTAGATAAAAAACTAAATTAAAACTTTAACCGATGTAAAATGAGCTTGTCAAAATCAGAACGAGAGTCTATTATATTAAATGACGCCAGAGGAATACAACATCCTTTCTATTATGTAAGTCAGAGTAAAGATGGTAAAATATATGTAAGAAAAAGAAAGGTTCCATTAGCGAATACAGAGAGCGACAACATTAAGGTGCATGGCAACCGAGCGAAGCCCATATAAAACCTTCTGTACAAACTGAGCCACCAAAAGAACAAGAAGAAAAGAAGCCAGATGTACTTTCAATAACGAACCAAGAGCTTATTGCAAAGTTCGTGAATTTCATTGAAAAGCAAACCGAGTCAAAGAACCCTGACCCACCAGTGAAAGAAGTCGAGACAAAAGAGAATGTACAGTTCATTGAAAATGTCAAGAAACAACTTCCACCACGAATACCAAGAAGAAGAGTGAGAATAATGAAGTAAATAGATATTTTTATCTGAAGTAAATACATGCAGAACGAACAGTTAAACGAATTTACTCCAGCAGAGCATATTCATCAGATTCGCTCATATTTCGATATCATAGACAATGCAGTTCAAATTGGTGACACTAATAGAAAATATTCTGACGCAAAGATTCCATCACAACCTGGAACTGCTAAAGATAACACATGGGTAACATTCAATCTCTCACCTCCTGGTGAAAATATGTTGGACCTTTACAATACATTCATTACGTATAAAATGGAAGGTCAATTTATTGTAGATAAAGAAATTGGTTCAGGTTCCAATAAAACAAACCCACCAGGATTTTGGATTGGTTTCGATGACGCTTTCTATGCAGTTGCTGGATATCAAATCCTTGCAAATGGTCGTATCGTATATTCTCAAGACAACGCAAGAGAAGAAGCATATATAACTTCAAACTCACAAACTACCGAACAAATAAAGAAAGTCGATGTTTTTTCAAAGACTCGACATAAAGATGTATGGAGTCATTCGGGAACATGCAGAACAGGACAAATTG